CCTCTAGCCTCTGTGGCCCCTCTACTCATGTGCACGTACTCACACTCAAACACACACAGACACATACACACACACAATTAAAAATAAAAACTAAATCATTTTATGAAATTGTTATTTTCTGTTTCACAACATAGCTAAAGAAAACATTAAAGTCTGCTTTAAATAATTACTAGGTAAGTTTCAAACACCTGACACTAATTGTTTAATCAAATTTTTAACTTTCCTAGATAATCTCCTAGATAAAATAATTCACACTAAATCTAATAAGTTGTAAAAATAAAAACTGAAAATCCATTAAGTAATTTCCTTTGCTAATGTACTAATAATTTAAAGAAGCATTACCTAATCCAATGTCAGAGTTGATTATTAATTTATCACAGAAAAATTAAGTTTTATAGTCTATGTGCTACTGAACATATCCAAAAATAATTACTAAAACAGTCTATAATCTTTAAAAACAATTTTAGAGAAAAATTCAGAATGTTTTATTACGTTTATTTTTGTGGAGTGTGTGTGCACGCACACTTGCATGTATGTGTGTAGGCAAGAGCATGCCATAGTACACGTGGAAGTCAGAGGACAACTTTCGAGAATTGGTTCTCTCCTTCCACCATGTGGGTCTAGGGGATTGACCTCCAGACTTGGTGACAAGCACATTCATCTGCTAAGCCATCTCCCTAGCCCTAGAATGTTTCTTAATTAAAATGAGAAACTTGAATGCCACAAAGTATCTTAAAATCTAATCACTATATTGATAGCCTTTATTAAAAGTGCCCTTTTCTTTTAAAAACAGAATCTTTCACTTACATAATATTACCATTACCTCTGTCAAACATTTTTAGCTAGTAAAGTATCAAATACTTGGGAATAAACAATACTATTTTATTACTAGCAAGTTAAAATCATCTTGAAAAATTAATTTATATGTATAGCCCAAATAAAAAAGCAAAGATATGAATTAAGATTGTAATCTATAAAGCAAAGAAACTCAGGTATCCTTACATTCAGAGTTATGCTAAGACATGATCAACTACCTTCTTTTGAGATTAGGATGGCCTGCCTTTGAACGAGTAGAACCTGAGCCTTGGAGATCAAACCACAACCTCTACTTATTGATGAGACCCTGAACACGGACTCTCAGGACCCTGAAGTGTGGAACTGCATGGTTAGTAGAGGAAGTTCACCAGATCAAAAAGGCTGACTGTGCTCCTTGTTCTAAGAAAGGCATCTTAACTGCCCTGTCCTTAGAATGTAAACATCTTGATCAATACATCACCAGACACACACAATAACTGAGTAAGGTCCTGCTTTGTAACAGCCTTAGCATACACCAGCTAAAAGCTACTGTTCCTGTTTTTCATCTAATTATTTCTGAAGCTTTATACACAACTGCAATGCCAAATGTAACTGCTAGCTCCTCTTCTGTATAAAAACTTGGACTTCTAATAACATGAACTTGTTGGGAGACACATGAGTCCCCAGAGTCTTAACTTTGCATGTCTCCAGCTAAGCCTCTTACTTGAGGAGCTCCAGAAGGTCCCCGCACCTTCTTAGCAAACTTGAAAGATCCTTGGAAAGGCTCAGAGCTGAAAACGTTCCCTACTTCCCAAAGATGGCTGTCTGAGGTCATTTCTGGCCAACTCAAGCAAAGTTAATCACCACTGCTTTATTCTAGCTCTACACAGTGCATATAACAACAGATATTATCATAGTGTGTTGCCATTTCTATGTCTTAATCTTGAGCTTGACCATGAGATCCTTAACGAAGAAAAGAATGTCTTATTCCTATTTACTTCTCTATCATCAATGGTGATATTATACCTAACATTATTTTATCAAATTCCTTTATCAAGCCTTTTCCTGAGCATCATTACAGATCAAGGGTCTGCAAACTAAGATGAAGGTCTAAATTCAACTCACAACTTGGTCTGCACAGTCCAAGAGTTAGCAATGCTTCTGTTTTTTAAATGGCTGGGGGAAAAAATCAAAGAACATTAACATCTTGTGATAGGTGAAAATATAAAATCAAATTTCAATGTCTATAATGAAGCTTTCTTAGAACACAACCATGCTGTTTCATTAGGTATTACCTATGACTGTTTCATGCTACAAGGGTCAATCTAAGCTGACACAGATACTATTCATACTGCAAAACATAAAATATGTATTATCTCACTCTTTACAGAAAAGGTTCATCTACTAATTTCTATTACCAGCTAGAGAAAGTAGAAGTGAAAGAAGTCTATCTTTTATGTAACATTTACTGGAGGACTTGTGCGTCAAATATTATAGAACAAAAAAAGTGTATTACTTCCACTGACTTCACATAAATCAAAATATGTTATAATTCCAGTTGGGGGACCGAGTCTGGAGAAGGGTAAAATGGAATTTCTGAGCAGAGAGAAAACAGCCACAATATGGCTGAATTCAGGTGTGTGCCCAGATGACATTGTAAAGGCAGAAACTGGAAACAGACTGTGGATTGCCGTTATGTGTACTTAGACACTGTATATGCCACTGAACTTTTTATACCTGAGTGTGAACTGCCTGGCAAGGACAGGTCACAAGCCCACTCACTTCCCCACCCCCCAGCTCCTAAATTTCTATCCCCAGCCTCACTCTCAACTGTGCTCATCATTCCTACTCACTGAGAAAGCACAAGCAATCAGGAGGAGCTCCCCACCTACTCACCTACCCATGCCTGCAGTAATGTGCATTTCAGCTTAAACCTCAAGACTCCATGTTTACCAGAACTCTAAACCACAAAAACTTAAATACAGTCTGCTATCAGCTATACTTTTAATTTTTTGAAAAGCACTGTTAACCTACCTGGCAGTGACCTGAAAGAAATTCCTACCCAGCTACATTACTGGCATTTTAATGGGTACAATAAACCATTTAACTTGGCAGGAAATAAATTATAAATGCTTTCTTCTTTGATGCTCTATAATTTACTGAAAGTGGTGAGATAATAAAACAAAATACTAATGTCAATAAAATTTAACCTAAATTGTATGACAGCATTTCTTGCTGGAGAAAAGAATGCAATGGAACCACATGGCAAGCTACCTAGCAAGTTACACATATTTACCAAATACAAATGTTTGTGATTAAAACTGCTTTCAATCCAATTTCCACACTAGTAAAGACTACAATTTATATTATGAAATTCTTTTATTTAATCATTCCTTCAATTAAACTCAATGACAGATATTACAAACTGTACTTGGTACCCTTCCCATACACACAAAAAAATACTATCTGGGGTTGGAGAGACAGATCAGGAGTTAAGAGCAGAGGACCTGAGTTTGATTCCCAGCACCTACATGGCCACTAACTACTGTCTGTAACTCCTGTTTCAGGGGATCTGACGTACTCTTTTGACTTCTGTGGGTACTGTACAACGCAGGTGCACTTACATATATGCAAGCAATACACTCATACATATAAAACAAAAATAAGGGGCTAGAGAGATGACTCAGTGGTTACAAAACTGACTGTTCTTGCAGAAGACCTGGGTTCGAATCCCAGCACCCACATGGCAGCTAACAACTGTCAGTAACTCCAGTTCCAGGGGATCCGACAGCCTCTTCTGTCCTTCATGGATATTGAACAACACAGGTGCAATACACACATACACATAAAATAAAAACAATAAATAAAATTTTAAAAATAATAAATAAAATATTTTTAAATACTATCTTGGGCTTGGAGAGGTGGCTCAGTGGTTAGGAGCCCTGGCTGCTTCTGCAGAGGACCCAGTTTCGTTTGACCTCCATAGGCAGTGCATGACATAGATGCACTCACATACATGCAGGCAATACACTCATACACATAAAATAAAAATAAAAAATACTATCTGTAACAAAAGACACAACAAAGTAATGTAGTAATAAATTTATACTGACTTTAAGATTACCCCTATGGACAATATTATTTGATGTTTGGGGCTTTCAACAGCACACCGACTAAACCCACTTTGAAGAATAATGTCTCTAGTCTGATTTTAAGGCAAATACCTACAAAGTGTCCTTCTAATCTCCTATGAAGAGATACATAATGGTCTCTGGACAAATATACAGTGGGAAAAGCACCCGAATTAAAAGTCTGAGACAGAAACTCGGCTCCTTTCCTAGCCGGGACTTTGACAGAGTTGCTGAACCTCTTTATGACCCATTTCTACATCTGCTCAACCAGACCATGTCCAACCTCACAGGGTGTCAGGATTAAATGAACTCATACTGAGCCTGGCTCCTCCCTTAGCTCCCACAGGAACAAAGCTGTCTTCATGCCCAGTGCTCAACCCTCTGAAAACCTCAAGCCCAGCCTTCCTCCTTCAACCTCGAACTGCAGCCCAAACTTTCCCATCCGGCTTGCTTTTCCTTCCCGGAAGTATTTCCACACCTGGGGGCTTTGTAGGTGTGCTGCGGAATTAAGATATTTAACACCCCCCCAAGCCAAGTCACAACCCTGGTCTTCCCCATCACCACCACCCGGCCCACCACTTACTTCCCACCTGCCCCATCAGTACCCGTCCTCCCCCACCTGCCCCCCCACCTGCCCCATCACTGCCTGTCCTCCCCAACCTGCCCCCCCA